GATTGTTAGCTTAATCCTGATCTGGTGTAGTGCAGGTACAGGTGGAAGCAGAGTGTGTGTACAGTATGGATCTAGAGGTCATGGACCATATTTCAAAGCCTCCACTCTCAATCCCAACTATCTCCGTGCTATATCAGAGCCTTGTCAAAAAGCAACATCCTCACATCTGTTTGCCAATGTGTTAATTTTCTCCAATATATTCAGATGTTTCTTTCACCAAAAAATGCAGTGCACTATCACAAGCATCATAAGCCAAATGGCCTCCATCAGAGCTGTAAAATCTAATGAACCTAAGATATTTTATAAATGTGGGGGATATCTTTGCACTACTTCCTCTCTTTGTAACTTTTCCACAGTTGTTGGTTAGGATATAAGCCAGTCACATGGCAGCGATTATAAAATACAACATCACAATAGTAATAAATAAAAATTCTAATTCCAAAATATCTCAAAGAACTTCACAGGATTTACTGTAAAGTGTAGTGACTGTGCATTTTGTAGGAGAATAAGGCAGTCAATCTGTGCACAGCAATGCTCCACAATGTCATGAAGTGAAACATCATTTTTATTTGGAGGATTGTTGGCCAGGACACCAAAAGAAACTCATCTCTCTTTTTAAATCAGGCCATGGGATCTTTAACATCCACCTGAACATGCAGACAGGCGCTCAGCACTGAACTGCACCACACCATCAACCTAAATTATGTAGTCAATGTCCCCGTCCCAATATGGGGCTTGAACCTTTAACATTCTGACCCGAAGGTTAAATTCCAGAAATGATGCGGGACAAAGGTGAGGGTCTGTGAACATAGTTTAGCATGTTTACAAATGCCCTTTTTTGTTCACCAGCTGGAAACTGAATAATTTCCACATGCACTTTGTAACATAAGCATTTTCAGCACCAGAAAAAAACATGTTGATGGTCCCAACAATTCAAAAATAAAGAAGAATAAATAATCCTACACAATGCTATCTCTGATCCTTTCAACTGGATTGTTTGCCAAATGACCATCTCCCTCTTGAATTTATTTGCTTTTGTGGCTTCATAGTTCTTAACTCCACGCATTCAACATTCAGGACTCTCCATATTAAATGTAAAGAACACACCATGAATACACTCATTTGCTTTTTTAACAGTCACTGAAGTCCATGTGACCATTTAGAAGATTAATCACCTGGGAATTATTTTATATAATCTATGATTTCAGATCTGCACTAAATGTGCTTCTTATTCAAGCGCACAGTTACATGTTCCAGATAAGTGCTCAATGGCTCCAATGTACAACTTATATCACAGGTCTAATGTTAATTACATCCTTATTGTTCAGCCCCTTCACTCATGGACTTATGTGATATTTACTCTAAATGATGTGTACTTGTTTGTTTGTGGATGTTAATTCACGTGGACTGTAGCAATGATTTGTCTTTGGGTTCGGAGGAATTAAAACTGGAAATTTGGTTTGGGGGGTTGAACTGCACATCTATTTTGTACTGCATTTCATTCCCAACTTTATTTCCCAACAGTATTCCCAGTAATGTGGAGAATGAGTTTTACAATCCAGACTGCAAACTGGTGAAGCACTGCAATATCTGGAGGGTATGAGTTCAATCGCAAAGTAGACTAGCCTCAGCTGAGATTAAACCATTTTTCACAGAAGGTGGACAACAAGGTTGTCCGGAAGGCTGATGAGGTGCATGGAGGTTCGAGAGGGGACTTAATGTACTTTGATGCCAAAGGGAATAGATATGACAGAGAGGGAGATAGATGGTGCTTGAAAATGAGACTGTGCAAGCCAGAATTAGGCTTATAGATAAGGCTAACACTCCAGTGCAGTGCTGGGGAAAATATTACACTGAGGTCCCTTGTCTATTCACATGCACTTTAAAGATCTTACAGCACTTTTGAAAAGAAGGGAGCTGCTTGTGTTATTCTAGCCAACAATCCTCCACCTAAATTGGTCAATCCCTTCACAGTTGTTCATAGGAGTTTGCTGTGTGTAAAATGACTACCACAGTGCCTTCAGAAATAGTCACAGTAATTACCTGTGGAGTTCTTTTACACACAGCAAACTCCTATGAACAACCAAATGACATTTGTTTGGGGGTCAGCAATATTTTTGGTCTCAACATTTTAAAGATTTTAGGTCATATGCTCCCTTCTTTTTGTCAGCTGGATATCTGACACATGCAGAAATCTGCATACTTATAAAAGTATCCAAACCAGAACATGTACCCATGTATGGCACCTACACATGGAAATTTCCATTTTGGAGTGCAACCCACACATGTACATGAGTTGCGGCTCACCTGGAGGGACTAACCCCACTTACCTAATTCCAGAGAGTATTAGGCACAGGTGGGCAAGAGGAAAGATTGGGATTTTACTGGCAAAACTGCAGCAGTAACCAATATCCAGCAAAGTTTATCCAGCTAAAACTGCATAGCTTGCCATTGCACTGTCTGTGCTGCTTCCCACTGCATGGTCAACTAGAACCACCCTACCCATTAGGGCTTGGCTTCCAGGGTCAATAGGAACTGAGCGGGAAGACACAGTAATTGGTCAGTCCCTCCAAGCCTACTGATGAGCCAGGCTGTGCTGTTATTAGCAGTGCCCTAGAATACTGTGAACCCACCGGGCTCAGGAACTGGACCCCCGAGACAGCCACAGAGGGCTGGCTCAATTCTGACAATCTCTTATCAAGCATATCACCTTGGAGCCAGTTCAGCTCTTTGGAGACCGTGCTTACTACCCCCTCCCAAAGGATAGTGCCACCCACTGGAGAAAGTATCCACATTGAGCATAGAATGGTCCACTGTGATGGTTTCAAGGAGAATGAGAAAAAGAGAAGGGAAAGGAGGGAGAAAGAATGAGGCCAAAAAAACAACGCACACATAGAGGGCAAGACTGCACTAGACTGCATTGGAACATTGGAATACCTCTAGGACCCTTTCCCCAGAGTGACAACCTGTGTGCCTTGTTTATGGAGGTTAAGACACAAGATACTCTCTGGGTGTTCAACAGCCTGAAGAGTATATGAAGAGTATACGGTGAGGATACTTACACATTGCACAGGCCCAATTGTCCAAACCCCTCCTTCTTAACATTCTCTGAGATTCATTTCTGCCTGTCAGTCAGGAGAAAGAAGATTCAACGGATTTCAGATGTTGTGTGTCCCAGAGAGAATTATATCATAATAATAATCCTTGCATTTGATATAGCAGATTATCATGTCATTGAGAGGTCTTAAAGCGCTTCACAGAATATATTGTAAAGTAGATTGACTATATATTTTCAGAGTGGCAGCCAATTGTGCATAGCAGTATCCCACAAACAATCTTAGATTGGGTGACTACATTTTTTTTTGGAGGGATTATTACTCTCGGAAAGTGATCTGCCAATCGACTAACAACCAGGTTCCTACTTACTGCTAGGTAAATTAGAGGCATGTGGAGTAAGGAAACTTATCTTGGATTTCGTCCTGCCCGAAAATCAAATCTTCTCGCTCGTGAGGTGAGGGTGCAACCGCTACGGGATTCCTGTGATAATCCTGATAGAGAAGCCCATTTGGTTTTCTATGGACCCAGTGCCACAAAGGATTGTTTACCAGTTATAATAATAACAATAATCCTTGCACTTGATAATGCCCTATCTTGTCATCAAAATATCTCAAAGCGCTTCATAGGATTTTATTGTTATTGTACGCAAACACAACAATTCGCACACAGCAATGTTGCACATACAGGCAAAAATGTGACAGTTATATATGGAAGTCTGTTGGCCAGATCACCAGAAGAAACTGCTTTCTCTTTTCATATTGTGCCATGGGATCTTTAACATCCATCTGAACAGAAAGATGGGATCTCAGATTAACATATCATCCGAAGAACGGCATCTCCAATGATGCAGCACTGCTCTGATGCTCTCCCAAAACTGCATTGCAGAGTATGAGTTCAAAGTCCCAAAGCAAAACTTAAACCCACAAGAGTGAGTTATGTGAGAACTTCGATGTCAGGGGAGAAAGAAGTTGTTGTCTGTCTGAGCACAAAGAGACACAGGTCATCTCTTTTGTGTCATATTTGACAAGGCAGCTTTCAAAATCAACTAGTCCCAATAGTTTCAGAATTTTTCCCCAACCCTGAGGATTATATAATAATAATCCTCGCATTTGATATAGAGCTTTTCACGTCGGGAGGACGTCCCAAAGCGCTTCACAGAACACACTGTAAAGTGAATTGACTGTATATTTGTGGGCGAACGCGGCCGCCAATTGAGCACAGCAATGTCCCACAAACAGTCGTAGATTCAAAATGACCAATTTATTATTGTTTTTGGTTTTGGAGGGATTATTATTAGGCGTGTGGAGAAAGGAAACTTGCCCAAGGTTTCGCCCTGCCTGGAATTGAACTCAGGTCTCTCGCTTCCAAAGCGAGTGCTCTAACCACTGAGCTACAGGACTCCACTCACTTACCCAGATGATTGTAAGTGCAGTCAGTGCAAACTCACAGCCTGAGTTACTCTTTATTTTGACATTCAGGGGAGATTGCATTGCTCTGAACAGTTCAGGACATTGACCACTTCTCAGTGAATGCCACGTGAGATGCCCCTACCCTCATGAGATCGACTGAACGTGGAAAGCCTGTGCCCAGAGCTCTGATCTGACAGCTCCATTGTAAAGCTGTGAAGTACACGAGAAATAATTAGTTCTTTGTGACCAGATAAGATCAATGGAACCAAAGTGTGGAATACATAATGAGTCAGGTTCAGAGCTGGCGTTCGGTCAGTCCACAGGTTCCACGCAGATGGAATAGACCAAAGCGACTAGACACTGAGGGGTGGGTGGGTAGAAATAGGTGGATTGTGAACCATATGCATGTGATACGTAATTGGGAATTAATTGGTTAAAAGGGGTTGTTCAATAACTCCATTTCCTTATGACAAACAGGGGCTGGGACTAGGACACAGCCTAATTATAAATAGAGGGCTTGGGTCATCTCTCCTTTGTACAGTTACTGGGATCTTTAAGGTAAAGGTACAGTTTCACAAAGTGCAGCTATTGTCTGACAGTTGCTTGCTACTAAACTCTCTTTCTTGTGTACTCCTTAGTGTGTTTGAAAGCAACAACAGCAAAATGTTGACTGTTCTTATCTTGCTGAGTCTCCTGAAGTCCTACAGTGCCAGTGATAAACCCAGTGGTAAGTTATTTTGTTTCTATCCACTTCTCCAGGCTCGTGGAGCAGCAATCTAGGACATAGCAATCAATAGCTTTCCATCCAAACTCCTAAACCTAATCTTTCTCCTGATGTGTTTTGTCTGAAACACTGATAGTACAGCGCCTTGGGACGTCCTCCCAACATGAAAGGCGCTATACAAATGTAATTTTGTTGTTGTATTTAGTTGCAATGGGGTCCAAGAGTCTCCTGAACAGTTGCAAGGAGCTGGCATTTCGGCCAAGATGGGAGTGAGCACAAACTTATGAATGGATTTTATTCAATTCAGAGTGGGAACCAATTCACTGCTGCCAGACCATTCTCTGCTCACTTCCTTTTCTCATCTAGCCCCTCTGGCTCACTCTTGTAACCATTCCTTGGAACGACAGCTCTCTACCCTTCTCCCTCCCACACATTTCACTTTGTCTTTCTGATGAAATTGACACCATCTCAGATTTTGCCAAGATTATTCCATTCCCTCACTCTTCCCTTCCTCCTTTACTGTACTGAATTCTTTCCTCCCTCACTTTTTCCTTCCTTCTACACGCTCCATGACTTTGCATAGTTCACAGTTTCTAGTTAATAATCTGCTCATTCCATCACTCCAATTTTCCCTTTGTCCTACAATGTGCAGTGCATCAGCCTTCACCTCCACTTACACTCCACAGGACTCTTCCCTCCATCAGAGCTTGAAGATGCTACCCTGTTTGAAGGGGTTATATAAATGCAAGTTATACTACCTCCTGCACTATACAGTAGAGGTCATTTCTAATAATAATAATTCCTCCAAAAACCAAAAAACAATAATAAATTGGTCATTTTCAATCTATGACTGTTTGTGGGACATTGCTGTGCGCAATTGGCTGCCGCGTTCGCCCACAACTATACAGTCAATTCACTTTACAGTGTGTTCTGTGAAGCGCTTTGGGACGTCCTCCCGACGTGAAAAGCGCTATATCAAATGCAAGGATTATTATTATTATTTCCTCAGTCGTCACTTCTTCCAACATTCTACAGAACTCTTCTATGCATCAGTCTTCCTTTACTCCCACACTCCACAAGGCTACGTAATTTCCACTCTTCATTTCTTTCTATATTCTAGACTTTTCTAAGAACCTACAGGATTCTTCCTAGCCCCACTTTTGCTCTCCATCTCCACTTTACAGACATTTGAACCTAATTGCAGCATTACTCAAATGCTAGATCTGGTTTCATCTCCTCCCTTCACTCTTGGTGTGTGGAGCTAGAATATCAGACAAGATTGATGATTAGAAATTATCATATTACACTTCAGCTGTTCCAAACAGGATGGGTGTTTCACTAGTGTTTCCTTAAATTGCATCCAATAATGTTTGCTTCACAGTGGGCTCCCCTTCCATGGGAGCCAGTTGTACTTGTCCACCTCAACCAATTGGCCATTCTTCACAAGTGACATTTGTCCAGCCAAATCAGCCCTAGGAACATCACAGCTGTGCCTGGTCCTGTCCTCACTTGGCATCCAGAAGCCAGATCTAGAAAGCAAACTCCTGCCAATATTTCCCTCCCACTGAACTCTAGCAATCCCTGCCATCAGCCGGGCTCATGAATACAGCTAAATCTGAGTCAGGGCTCTGCTGGGATCTTGCTGGTCTGTACTGCTCACTAGCCTGTTCTGTGTGGTTACATATAACAAATGAAAGCCCATCATTAGTCAGCTGGAAGTCTCTCCCTGTGCTATTTGAGACATCTCTGAGGTGACCAAGTGAGAGATTTTATTCCACATTACAAACATTTCCACTGAATTTCAGGTGCAATATTTTGACAAACATGAGCCTTTGAGGAGTAATTAATTGTCTTTTGTGTTTCTGCAAACTATGTGACAGAAACATATGGACCTGATTATGGGCCATATGTAGAGCCATCAGCGTATTCGCAGAGCGTAAAAGTAGACTATGGCCCAGGAAGCGGTTATGGCTTCGATAACCATGCAATTTTTGGGGGCACAATGCCCATAGAAGGATTCCCAGTGGAGAAATATGCCGTAGCATCCAATCGAGTTTGCAAGGACAGATCAGGCATTTGCAAAGGACCCTGTCAAGATGGTTTTTTTGCTTTGAATGACGTGTGCTACAAGTATATTCACCGCAAACTGTGCTTCGCTGATGCAGAGGTATGTGCTCCACCTTAAAGTTCCAAAGTTACATTGGATTGATAAACCGTTTTATCAAAAGTGAGAAAGGTTAATTATACATTAAACTTATATTGAATAATCTGGAAGCTGGTGCTTTAGAAATCAATTCAAAAGAAAAGGAAATGTTTTGTGAGCTCACAGTAAAAGAAGAGAGAAATAGCTGAAAAGACAATGAAGTCAAGACACCAAACATCAGTGCCGAACATGGCAAGTACTGAGAATGCAGAAAGGCAGCATGCAGCATTTCCCTGCGTAGTGACTGACAGCAGGATTCAATTGTCAGTTTACTTGTGTGAAAACCCACAAAATTTACCATGTTCATCAGAATGTACCCAGGTAAATCTAATTAGTTCATTTCAGTCTGCCTGGTATCTGACCCACACAGAATCCCCTTAACCTTAGTCTTAAGGTTATCAAGAAGCCAAATGGAAAAAANTCCAATCCTCCAGGGACTAACCTATCCTTCTGGGTCCCATTCCCATTGATGAGTGAAACAGGTTAATTGGTGATCAGCAATACGCTGGAGTCTGGTTCAATGATCAGATCACAAAGTTTAACACAGAGTCACTCAAATCTACTTTCTTTTGACCCGATATGTACTATACAGCCAACCACCTCCACCACCACCAACCTCCAATGCAGGTCAGTAATAATAGGTTTGCATTCACACCAGATGGCTTGTTAGTATCAGGAAGTGAGTATAACGATGAGAGTTAGCAGTGTGTGCTAACATATACATTAAGATAGAAATAGCTCCATATTCCCCTTGCCACACACTGACATTTGGGTTTGATTCTTTTCTCTTCCAGCTGTACTGCCGACACCATTTCCCTGGGTCTCACCTCGCATCTATACATTGCCGTATGAACCATATGTTCATTAGAAATCTGATAAAAGCATCATATCCTACATGCCCTAAGACTTGGATTGGTCTCACTGATTGCTCCAAAGTAAGTAACCAATATCTTTTTCCCGTCCTGTATCAAGACTAAAATGCTTCCGATGTGACTGGTGCAATATAAAAGCAAGTTGTTGTTGTTTCTTCCAAGTTGTTGTTGTTTGTTGGTTGTCCCATTATTTGTTTAGCTTTGTTGGCAGCTTCACATTAACAGGAAACATTCAGTTACTGGTCGCACTTACCTAATTTTCCAAGTCTGGGCAATCTCCTCACTGTGTGATTGTTGACTGTTCCAAACTATATATGTTTATTGGTGTTAAAATGCATCTGCTATTTCTGTTTAATATATTCTGAATACCATGAATCACCTACCCACACTGCTTTGTACCATCAGTCAATATTATATTCAAAGGTCATGCTATCCTCCAAGTCATCTGTGGATAGGGTGAATAGTAGTGGATCCAGACAGAACTGTTTCCATCTATCTGCACCACTGCTTTCAAGCCAACAAACAAATCTGCTATTAATTCCAAGAGGTTTAACCTTCTGTAAATATTTTGCATGTGGAACTTCATCAAAGGAGCATCTGAGGGTCCAAGTAAATTGTATTCACTGGCCTAGCCATTGGTTACTCCCTCTGAAATCAGAGAATGAAGCCTGGCCAATTGCAGGTACTCCATGCTGACTGTCCCTACCGGCATCTGTCCTCTTTACAGGAGCATTTCGATGTCCAGCATGAAGCTTTCCAGCACTTTTCGCCTGTACAGATGCTAGCTTCGCTGTAACACAATTCTCTGACATGCATTTCCTTCCTGTTTTGAAGAACACAATAACATTTTCTGACCTTCAGTCCTCAACAATAATTCCTGTGTTTATGGAGCTCTTCACTTGCATAACTTATCTTCATCTCATCTGATTCTTTGGAATATCTCTTCCCAAAAGATCACTTAAAGTCTAGTCTTGGCCATAAAGTCTGACATTTGAGTGAGGATTGGTAATAATAATAATGATAATAATCCTTGCATTTGATAAAGTGCCTTATCATGTCATTGAGATGTCTCAAATGCTTCGCAGAATACATTGTAAAGTGAATTGCAATGTTTGATGACATGTTCTGTGGGTGAAATACAATGTTTGATGACACGCTTTCAGTTTCTGAAAGGAGTCCTCCACTCAGATTGCCACAAAATGTATTCATGCTTTACTGGTGGTTGGTCCGTGATATCTCTTTCAAAAGCTGCAGCTTTTCAGTTCATGGTTGTTTGCGGGATGCTGCTGTGTGCAAAGTGACTGTAGCGTTGGCCCACAAAACAGACTCACAGCACTTTACAGCATATCCTGTGAAGCGCTTTGGAACATCTTTCCGACATGAAAGGTGCCGCACACCGAATGTAAGGATTATAATTATGACCATTATTAATTAAGGTTCCATTTCCTGGGATGCTCACATTTTGCTGTTTAATTGCAGGAGGGACATTTCGAGTGGACTGATGGGACATGTTCAGATCACACAGCATGGTGCCCCAGTGAACCTTCTGACAAATTTGGAAAGGAAAACTGTGTTGTTATCAACCACAAAAGTACGTTCCCTTTCTCGAACACTATTTTAAATTAGGCTCATGAAGCCGGCTTTTCTTTTATGGTCAACTTCGACAACAGATGTTGTTAAAAAATTTCCGCAAAAAGAGAAGTATAAAGAAAGAAAGAGCCTTCAGGTTCTGTTGAAAAATAAATAGTTGCAAAGGTCAAGATAAGTTCTACTCCAGCAAACAATAGAGACAGAAATATTGATTTGTACAGAAGGTTGTGAGAAAGGGGTAGTCACCCACTCCATTGAAATTTTAAAGATGGAGATGGATTGTTTGACAGTTTTTGTCAGACAATGCTGAAAAAAAAATCCTGAGTTTCATAAGCATCAGAAGCATAGAACATGAAAAGGAGGCACTGTTGAAGTTGGGCAAGTTCTTGGTTGGAGTATCTTTTACGGATTGGACACTCCATTTTTGGAACAATATAAAAGGAATGAAATGTGGAACAAAGATTCACTGGGATGGACGTGACCAGGTTTGAGGGTTTCAGAAATTTTAGATTTTTTTTTAAGAGAGCCGATAAGGTTAATGAGTGACTTGGTAAGAGTCTTCAAGATTATGAATGCTTTTGATAGGCGAAACGTCATCGTTTATATCCACAACATTTAAGATAATAATCAAATGAATAAAGGGCAGGTACGTGAAATTACCAGCTACAAATTGCAGTTGAGGCAAAAAACATCAATCCCTTAAAAGGTTATTTAAAAAAATGCTTGAAAGAGAAGGAATATTAAACACTGTGGTAGTACAGTAAGAAAAGGAATGGGAATTGAATAGGTTTGAAAAAACCCGCAATTGTAAACAATCTGTTTTCATGCCGTTATATTTTATAATTCTACATTCTTATGTTAAAAAATGCTTGAAATATCTTTCACGCCATTCAATCTCTCTGTTTCAGGCAATTATCTCTGGTCAGATGAAGATTGTGCCCATGAGTTTAACTTTATCTGTGCGTATCCATTAAACTGCAGAAAGGGTGACTGTTCAAGTCAAACATGCAACTAACTCTGAGAACAGTGCCACAAAAGTCTATTTCCAGCGCCACTTCTGACCTGTGTTAAAATGGCATTTTTAATCTCATTTTGGAATTATAATCTGTTCTGAGATTGTAGAGACCAATAAAGTAGTGAAGCATCATACTGTCTTGGCTTGGTTCTATGTTGTGTCCTTTCATTGTTGAGTTTTATTAGTTTCCACTCCTGGTCAGGTAGGGTTTGGATCAGGATCGAGTAATAATAATCCTTGTTTTTGATGTCACACCTTAACACTTTGCTGAAATGTGTCAAAGGCTTCTCAGATTTTATTGGGATTGTAATGGCTGTGCATTTTGCAGCCATGAAGCGAATGAACAATGTGATTGGTCTCAAAGGCACCTCTTATAATGCAGCACTGCAGTAAAGTGTCAGAATAGATTATGAGCTCAACGTTCCGATGTGGGGCTTGAATCCACAGCTTTCTAACCCAGATGCAAGTTGTAAGTGAGCTGGGATGATACATCAGTCTGATACCTAGGGTGAAGGAGCTCAGAGTTGTAACTCCTTACATCCTCAGTTTTATTCCTTCAAGCTGAGGAAGTTAAGAGGTGATTCAGCAAGGAGAGCGAGGACAGAGCAAGTGTCTGCAACTAAGGAAACTTCAGCAGAGTTGCTGAGCTGGAATCTTAGGTGCAGACATTTCACAGCATTAGGAAAGAGGAGAGCTACCTGGATACTTTGATCCAGGAAGCAGTCACTCCCCTGAGGCTCAGTAGGTGTACAGTAGTAGTCAGTAGTCAGGGACAGGATGGCGTGACTGACAGTCAGGCAGGTAAGGGAACCGCAGAAGGAGTGGTGGAGAAGCCTCAGGCTTCAATGTTGTCCAACAGTTATGAGGTACTTGCAACCTGTGTGGATAAGAAAGCCTGTAGGGAGGATGGGCAACCTGACCACAGCACCTTTAAAAAGCAGAACCTCTAAGGTAATAATCTCAGGATTATTACCTGAGCCATGCACAAATTGGTACAGGGACAAGCAGATTAAAGGGTTAAATGCATAGCTGAAAGGGTGGTGCGAGAGGCAGGGGTTTCATTTTATGGGCTACTGGCACCAGTATTGGGGAAAGAGGGAGCTCTTCGATCGGGATGGGCTCCACTTAAACCAGGCTGGGACCAGTGTCCTGGCAAAACGAATAACTAGATAGAGCTTTAAACTAATAAGGGGGAGAGGGAGGGTTAATGTTAAGTGTAAACTCACATAGCAAATAAGAAAAGTCAAGACTGCAGAGCAGAGTAGCGACTTGGGAGATAAAGAACAGAGTGGGTCAAGTAGGGACAAAGAGTTTAGCAAAGAAAATAGGGCATTAATGAGTAGGGGAAATAGTAAAAAGTTAAAATTAAAGGCGCTATACCTGAATGCACGAAGCATTCCTAACAAGGTAGATGAATTAATGGCACAAATAGAGATAAATGGGTACGATCAAGTAGCCATTACTGAGACGTGGTTACAGGGAGACCAAGGTTGGAGCTGAACATTCCAGGGTATCTGATGTATAGGAAAGATAGGTAATATGGAAAACATGGGTGGGAGGTGTAGTCCTGTTAATAAATGATGAGATAAGAAACAGTAGAGAACAGTATATTCGCCCACAAATATACGGTCAATTCACTTTACAGTCTATTCTGTGAAGCGCTTTGAGATGTCGAGAAGACGCGAAAAGCGCTATATCAAATGCAAGAATTATTATTATTATAGAGAGGAATGATCTTAAGCCAGAAAATCAGGATGTAGAATCGGTATTGGGTGGAGCTAAGAAATAACAAGGGGCAGAAAACACTAGTGGGAGTAATTTATAGACCCCGAACAGCAGTTACAGTATTGGGCAGAGTATTAATCAGGAAATAACAAGGGTAATACAATAATAATGGGTGACTTTAATCTTCATATAGGCTGGGAAAGCTAAATTGATAAAAGTAAATTAGAGATGAGTTTATGGACTGCAGTAGAGATAGTTTTCTAGAACAGTATCCAGAGGAACCAACGAGGGAACAGGCTATCCTTGTTCTTGTATTGTGTAACGAAGCAGGGCTTATCAGTAATCTTGAAGTTCAGGCTCCTCTAGGGCAGAGTGACCATAATATGATGGAATTTAATATTATGTTTGAGAGTGATGAAGTTAAGTCCGAAACAAAGGTCTTAAACTTAAATCAAGCCAATTTTGCAGGTATGAGGGACAATTTGGCTAAAATAGACTGGGAAAGTAGATTAAAAGCTATGACAAGCAATGGCAAACATTCAAAAATATATTAGATAATTCCCAGCAAATGCATATTCCCTTGAAAAATAAAAATTCCACATGAAAAGTGGTTCAATCATGGCTAACTAGAGAAGTTATGGAAAGTATAAACTTAAAAGAAGAGGTCTATAATATTGCCAAAAAGAGCTGTAAACCTGAGGATTGGGAGGGCTTTGGAGATCAGCAAAGGATAATCAAGAATCTGATTAAGAGGGAGAAAATGGAATATGAGAATAAACTAGCTAGAGATGTAAAGACAGATTGTAAGAGCTTTTATAAGTATATAAAGAGGAAGAGATTAACAAAAGTAAATGTGGGTCTTACAGGCAGAGACAGGCAAAATTATAATGGGGAGTAAAAAAATGGTAGAGTCACTAAACAAATACTTTGCTTCTATCTCTACGTTGGAAGATACTAAAAACTTACCAAAAATAGTGGGGAACCAAGAGACTAATGTAGTGAGCAACTTAAAGAGATTAATATCATAAAGTAATAGTACTAGAGGAACTGATGGGACTAAAAACTGATAAATCCCCTGGACCTGATGACCTGCATCATAGGGTTTAAAAGAGGTGGCTGCAGAGATAGTGGATACATTGTCTTTGTTCTTACAAAATTCCCTGGATTCTGGAACAGTTCCCGTTGATTGGAAGGTCGCAAATGTAATGCCACTATTTAAGAAGGGTGGGAGAGAAAAAAATGGGGAGCTATAGACCAATTAGCCTGACATTGGTGATGGGGAAAATTCTAGAATCTATACTTAGGGATGTCGTCGTGGGGCATTTAAAAAGTCATAATACAATTAGGCAGAGTCAACACGGTTTTATGAAAGGGAAATCGTTTATAACAAATCTTTTAGAGTTTTTTGAAGATGTAACTAGCACTGGTTAGAACCAGTGGTTATAGTGTACTTGGATTTTCAGAAGGCATCCGACAAGGTGCCACGTATGATTAGGGTTTATGGAATTAAGGGTAATATATTAGCAGAAAACAGAGAGTAGGGATAAACAGATTCTCAGATTGGCAGATTGTGACTATGAAGTGCCGCAAAGATCAGTGCTTGGGCCTCAACTGTTTAGACCCTGCATCAATGACTTAGATGAGGAAATAGAGCTTAATGTATCCAAATTCGCAGACAATACAAAGCTAGGTGGGAAAGTAAGCTATGAGGAAGGACACAAGGAGGATACAAAAGGATATAGACAGGTTAAGTGAGAGGGCAAGAAGGTGGCAGATGGAGTATAATGTGAGGAAGTGTGAAGTTATTCACCTAGATAGAAGAAATAGAAAACCAGATTATTTTCTAGAGGGGGAGATACTAGATACTAAATATTCAAAGGGATTTAGGTGTTCTTGTACACTAATCACAGAAGGTTAGTAAGCAAGTACTCAAGCAATTAGCATGTTAGCATTTACTGCAAAGGGGGTAGAGTACAACAGTGGGGAAGTCTTACTGCAATTGTATAGGGCCTTGGTGAAACCGCATTGGAATATTGTGTGCAGTTTTGGTCTCCTTATCTAAGAAAGGATATACTTGCCTTAGAGGGGGTGCAACGTAGGTTCACTAGGTTGGTTCCTGGGAGGACGGGGTTGACCTATGAGGAGAGGTCGAGTAGATGAGGCCCATATTCTCCAGAGTAAAGAAGAATTAGAGGTGATCTTATAGAAACCTATAAGATTCTCAAGGGTCTTGACAGGGTAGAGACTGTTTCCCCTGATTGGAGAATCTAAAACTAGGGGTCATAGTCTCAGGATTAAAGTTCATCACTTTAGAACTGAGTTGAGAAAACATTTCTTCACTCAGAGACTAGTGAATTTATGGAATTCTCTACCCCAGAAGGCTGTGGATGCTCAGTCATTGAACATATTCAAGATTGAGATTGATAGATTATTAAAAATTAAAGGGATTAAGGGATATGGTGATATGACGGGTAAATGGAATTAGGCTGGAAGATCAGCCATGATCTTATTAAATGGCAGATTTGAGGGGCCAAATGCCCTACTCCTATGTTCTTATCTGATTGAGGTGTTTCAAGGTAATAAAAGGTGCAATATCAAACACAAAAACTGGTACAATGAGACAGGGATTAAAGTATTTTTTTCCACCCATTCAAACAGTAGATTGAAAGGGATAGGACACATGTGTTTAATATTCAGAAGAGACCATAACAATGTAATCTGGTACACCGTTTGTATGTTTCATGGGGAATTGGTGACAATGGGGGCATTGATTATCAGAAAAATCAACAGCAAGGAGAAATATCTTCACTCTAGGTTCTGCTAGGGTGTGGGATGTGTTATCATAATTGTGCATTGAAGCTGGATCAATTCAATTATAGAAATGGAAACTAGATGAACGGACACTCCCTGCATCTGACATTGTGTTTCTCACGTCAGAAGAACACCTCCATGTGCCTCACAGGAATTGCTGTGAAGTGGAACATATTGTAGGCAACTGAAATACACATGTCTGACTCAGAAGTGAGAATGCTCACCCTCTTTCCCCCCACCCGCCCCGCGCCCCCAACATTGCCTTGGAGAACATATTCTCCAGCTGGTAAGTGGAGGTATGAAGACCACTCTTGGGGAATAATGTCTAAATGAGACAAAAGCAAGGTGAAAGCAATTTCTGGCCCTGCTGCTGAGAGAGGCCAAACCTGATGGCTGGGCAACCAAGGAGCAGATCTCTCATATAGGGTGACTGGGAGGAAACACGAGGGAGAACTGATGTACCTGCTCTGGGTAGAAACCTGTGATCACCTACAAACCACTGCACTTGACAACAATTTCCTGTGAATCACTTTGAGACTTTTGGAGGGAACAGATTGACTTCATGATCCTCACAATCGTGTTCAAATCCCTTCACT